TCGCGACGCCGGCCGCGCCGAGCCGCGCTCTAATGCATAACCCTTGTCGCCGTCCACGCCAAGCTGGCCTTGGGCGTCATTAGCCATTATAATTTATTAATGAATGCATGCCGAACCCTGCCGACCTGAGGAGCATGAACGCACCGGGCGCGAAAACCGGCACATCCTACACATCTTGACATCGATAACAATATATGGTCTCGGTCCACTGGACATGCATACGCGGCGCTGCAAAAAGCGCTAGCTCACATCGGGTATGAGATGAACCGGCATCACGACCGTAGCGCAATTAATAATTCTCCTATGTTCCGGTCAGCCAAACGGCGAGCCGCGAGGTCAGCCATGAGGCCATGACGACACAATCGGTTGCGAAACGTCCGATGACGCATGCGAGGTCGGCTCACACGGTTCTGCGGCCGAGTCATCGTCGTCAGTCGCTCGCCGCCGCTGCAGAGTCGCCGCGGCAAGTGAGCGGTGCCGTCTCGGCTCGACGCGCAGAGGAGGGGAGAGGCGGCGCCGCCGACCAGTGATACCGGGCATTAGGCTGATCAGCCGGCCGGGCGACCGGCCGCCGCGCGCCGCCTCCCGTCACCCACCCGGTGCCGCGAGGCGGCGAGCGCGCCTGTTAGCCGCGCCTATCTGCGTCCCATCTGGGTGCCGAGAGCCGGGCCGACCGGCGTCGCTGGCCGAAAATTACAGGTCGCCCAGGTACGGGGCGCCGGCAGTGGGCCAGCTTTGTTCCGCCGGCGGCGCTCACCCATCCATTATCGGCGGGGAGGGCCGCGAGACGCGAACAAAACACCGGCTCGCCGTGTCCCTGCGGGCCGGGGCGCGCCGGGGCGCCGGGCCCGGCCGAGGGGCGCCGGGGCGCCGCCGCAGTCCGGCCGGCCCCGGCCCGAGCAGACCCCCACCGGAGCCGGGCCCGGGCCGGCCGGCTCCGTATGCATGCCGAGCCCCGCTCGGAGCCTGCAAATTGCGCCGCGCCGCCAATCGTATCGGATTTATCTCAGGCCAGCCGATCGCGCCGCCCGATCACGTGACCGGCGCCAGCGTGCGGCGATCGAGTCACGTGACGCCGCCCCCGTGCAGGGCGCCGGCCAAACTGGTTCTCTGCGAGCTGTCGATACCCCTGACCTGCCGAGGGCCGGCCCGAGATGAAGACACGGTTCGCCGGCCGCTGACCGCCGCCGAACGGAGCCTGCGAGGCACCGCCAGACTTCCGCGAGAGCTTGGCTTACAGAAGATAGAGGTGGTGACGGTAGCTGAATTTATATCAGCGCCCGAGGAGAGCCATGACAAGTAGAAGCTGGACGCAATATGCATGATTCATCACCCTCTTCCATACTAGCGGTGCGAAACACGATCTGTTAACCTGAACGCCGTGGACCAAAATCCGACAATCGAGCATCAAAGCGCCCATCATATGCCAAAACAAAACCGCCTCGTTCGTGTGCCTCCCACTGCGCACTGGTGGTCGATGGACGGGCGAGCCATGTATGGAGGACGGCGGTCGGTGACGCCAACATTCTGAGACGGCACGAGCGACGCGCGTGCAGACGCGAAGCAGCTCCGCCCGCGCCGCGTGACCGGCGCACCACTGAAGTCTGAGCAAATGCCACGCCATCAGACAATTAGCAGAGAGTGCTGCGTAAATACACAAACATCGAGCCGAGCCGTTCGGGAAACATGAAGGCCAACCATGACCACTTAGATCTGAGCTGAGAAAAGCTGGGGAGTTTAGCTGCTTGCTTTATGATGTATGGCCAGTGCTGAGGACGTGCTCACTGCTCACATTTGCGGTGTCCACCGGTCACGGAATGTCTCGTCGGTCACTCTGTCCCTCCCGTGACCGATTACCACCGTGACCGTGACCGATGACCGTCGGCGGCCATCTTTAGCCTCAGCCGGTACCGGCTCTCTGACCAGAGGACAAAAGGAGTCGTGTCCGGGTCCATGCGGTCCAGGTGGGCGCCCCGCCGCCTGCTCTGCCTCGCCGTCCCCGGTGCGGGACCACACAGCTGGAGACAGGGTTTGGTCGTGTCGCGCTCGGCTCGGTCTAGGACCGGGACCAGTGGGGACCAGTGGGGTCGGGACCGTCCCAGAGGCGGCGCCTCAATGGAGGACCGGCAGGTGCTCGGGAGGCGGCTGGGAGCGCCACCATTGAGCGGCGCCAGCCTGCGCGGCCGCCGCCGGCGCACACCACTATTTGATGATGTCGCGTATTGTGTGCCGGTGATGAACGACGCCCATGAGTCGCCCCGAGTCGCTCCGAGTCAAGAGTCGCCGGAAGTCGGTCGACGAGCCAACTGGAGTCGACCAGGTGAGAACTGAGCTGTGTCGAGCAAGAACAGATCGATCAGGGGGACACCGGTCTTTGGTGCATCTTCGAAGAAGCCGGCGGGACGGCGGTGTCTGACTTCAAGGTGTGGCCAGATCCCACCACAGTGACAGGTCGCTGCGTCACTGTGCTACGATCTCGAGGAGTGGTCCTTCCACCGGTCAGCCCGCCTGACGTCTGACACCCGAGCCGCAGGAACCCATTGCAGAGGACCCACGGAATGCAGCTTTTCCTGTGATGAATCGACGGAACTTCGACCGCATCGTTAATGAATGGTTATGGTTGTAATCCGGCTCAGCATTCACTAAATCTGACATGTAATGTTGAACTTGGCGATTCATCTTCACAACTCAGCGGCGGCGGGCGGAGAGCGGGCGGCGGGTCCTGCTCCGAGACCTCGGTCACTCCCCAGCCGGAGGGGCGGCTCTCCAGCGGCCAGCCGCGGCCAGGATTTAGCACGTCGTCAGTCTGTCACCACCCGGAGCCGAGCGTCGGCCCGTGGGATTGAGTCGCTCGGGGAGGTCTGGTCATCGGGTCCGACGGCCGCAGAGCTCACCGACTCAATAGCAGGGGGTGACCGCGAGAGGCCTGCGCCCATACACCACTGCTTACGGCTGTCCGCGGCCCGGAGCTTACAGTTGTCCACGGCCCGGGGCTTACAGCTGTCCCGACTCACAGCTGTCCACAGCTCGAGGTCGGACACTGCACCTGAGATCACCGAGTCCACAGACGAACCCGGATAGTCGCCAGGCGAGGCCGGCCGGCTGTCCGGCAGTCGGGTCCTCCTCCGCCCGAAACGCAAACAGGCGCCATGTTTGCCATGGCGGTAGTCGCGGTGACGGCGGTAAGGCGATGGTGGCGGCGACTCGACCGCATCGTAAACCGTGCCGCTGAGGTATTGGCGTGATTAGTGGCTGGCTGGTTTGAGTGTTCCGCCGGCGGCGCCTCCCACGCCGGCCCGATGCGTGCCCGCACGGGATGGGCGGCGGCGGCGGCGGCGGCGCGCGGCTCCGAGCCGCCGCCGGCCGCGCCGGGTCATGACCTTACGGGGTCGGCGGCCCGGCGCACCGCCGCGCCGCCACGCGCCGAGTCGGGGTCGGAATCTCAGTGAGTCTGAGTCGGCGTCGGGGTTTGAGGTGCACGGCGCACGCTCAGCCCAGCACTCCCAGGTGATCAGATTGTGAAGGGCCGACCCTGGGCCACCCCTCCCCCATCTACCCGTCCGATCCCAGGCACGCTCCTTGGTTGATCGGCGGCAGCAGCGGAGGCGGGCGGCGGTACCGTCCCAACAGATTGTTTTGGTCAGAACCGCGCACCGCAGTGCCTGCGGCCCAGCCGCCGGCTGTAGGCCCGGCCACTTGTCTTATGGCTTGTTTACCATGTTAAATGTCGAGTGGGACAAAGTTTCAGACCATGTAATGACCGATAAGCGTCGCAGGTAATCGTTACACAAACATTCGCAAGCTATCCGAACAGTTATTTGCGATTTGATAAAATTATGGAGTAGTGATACCATGCGAAATATTCAACAAAAGGAACGATTACCAATTTTGTGACGCTTTGGGGGCGAGTAAGCGGGATACAAAAACCGATCGTAAAATGTTCAGACTGAGCCTCGCGCTGCGAGCGATCAGCAACCCCAACAATGCTCAGTCACGCCGAATACGTAAACCCCGGAATTTCACACATCGCCCGCCGCTCATGTCACCGCCGTGCTCATCTCCATGAATTCTGAAATTGTAATTCCGACTTGCAATAACAATATTTGCCAGCACGGCATCACGGCACATCCATCTCCGTCTCTTTACACGGAATATCCACACCAGGCGTCGTATAACTGCAAATGACCTGTCTGGCTGAATCATTTTATGGCCGCATCATTGTCTGCAATAAACTGAAGCTCCCGGTGTTTCGGCGCTCTGAGAACCAACAGCCGCATTCAGCCGGCTCGTTCAGGCTCGTTCAGAGCTTGCCGGGTGTTCAGATCAGAGACTAACAGGAAACTGACCGACTCTGACGGACCGCGCTGGAAGGGCCTCTCTCATGTGACCTTCCGCGGAGATAAGAGCGCCTGTCCGGCTCTCCCGGTCCCGGACACTGCATGGCAGGTGCCATGACTCATAGCTGTATACCGGCGCTGTCACTGTCACCGGCCAGGCCGAGAGTTGCACCACCCGGCACAACTCTGTTCTGGTGCAGTGTCGAGCCGAGCCGAACCGGATCGCACCAGGCCCGGCGCAGGGCCAAACCGACCGCGAGAGAGGCCGACATTCATGCTACGACGATAAATCGTATCCGCATATGGTCGAGTGGGCCATTTGCATGGGAATGGTGCAGTGAGCGGCTGAGATAGAGCACGACTGGCGGCCGATCGCCGGCTCAAGAGGCCGATGGACATTTAGACACCACCGAAAAAATGACTGGCTTTGTCAGTGTCAGGAATCCGTTTTGTCAAAACGTGCCTTGGGTCGTAGATCGTTTGAAGTTGACGACTTGTTACCTAAACTTGGCCGCGTCTTATCATGCCAATAAATCTGAATTAATTCACAACCGATCCTCTAATAATGGGTGAGCGTGTTCATATCACAAGATCTTTCCTTTATCATGCTAAGCTGGAACAGATATAAATTGCCTCCCCATAAATAAGACATCAGATACTCACATTGGGTTGGTCGTATTCCAGTGGACGACATAGTTTTTCACTCCTGATGTGACTCCAAACAGAAACACCACATCAAACAGAGTCACGAGCAGCAGACTCATCAGGGGACGGTGACTATGAGCGGCCATTGCCGTCAGCACCGACACGACGCTGTCTCGCGGACCGGTCACTGGTGGCGGCACACGGCTCGGCTCTCGGGCATCACACGCGGCCGCTCCGGCTCGGTACTCGCGCGCTCCAGCGACACACACCCTGCTCGCGTCACCTCAGCGGACCGACTGGGAGCGCACCGCGCCGGCCGCCGCCGCACCGCCGCCGCCGCCGGCGAGTCTACACCGCCGCGCCGCGGCCCACTAGCGAGCGGACCACGTGGAGAGGTGAGACCCAGCTCGAGCGAGAGACAACAGCCCGGCGAATGGAGAACAAGTGGGTGTCCGAGGAGGGATTCGTGACGCGAGATATGGGGCGCTGAGTAGCAATTGAAATTCGCGGAGATAGGATAACTCCTCACGAAATGCTTTTATGTTGATATTTTGCAGAACATGCAGCTAAAAACTAGCATATCACCGCGTTATAAAAAGACGGTGAGTTATAGGGGAAGTTGGGGGAACGCCGAAGACTTTTTTTCTGACGCCCGTAGCACGCAAGGTAGACAACACAAGCTATTCTTGTTGGCGTCATTCGAGAGGCCAGTCTTTTGCCTTTCAAACATACCAGGCGCATTTGATGAATTCGCATACCGTTAAGCGCACAAACTAAAAATATCAAAGAAGTGACTTTTTCGGCGTTGCCCCGGACTGCGGGGAAAGCCGAAAATGGGAGAAATGATCTACGGGGAATGCCGACATTGATGTTTTGCCATTTTATCTCAAACTTTATCCAGAATTGATCAAAGCTGACACGCGTTTTAAGAGCTTGAGGACGCGGTGCACACTGGAAGTTATAATTGTGTGATATAATAAGAACATGCCAGGTAAATCATTCCTTATAGGTAACAGGCCGTTGTGTCGGTTGAAAGTGTAATTTGTGTGACTAAAAATACGCGTTGCTATTCTACAGCAGTAAAGTCCACGTAGCGTGCTTTTAACACGTGCGTAATCGTACGTTTTCGGCATTACCCCAGCCTGCCATACTTTCATTTGCAGGCCCATAACTTTTTAAAGATTACTTGACCGAATTGGCCAGACAAACGGTAGCATAATGAGTAAGAAATGCAGCTTCAAAGGCGCATGTAGTACAAGGGAAACGTACCTTGAAAACGCTCTTGGCCCTCACAGTCGAAGTATTCCGAATGACGACTCGTAACAAACATGCGATAATTGTAGTCACTTAAGCTTCAGAGCATCACTGACAGGTGGCATCCATGTCTTACGGTTTTCGAAATATCTCGAATTTCGGCTTTGCCCCAACTCCGGCATTGCCCCAACTTCCCCTAGTTAGATTACATTAATAAAAAATAATACAAAAGTCTTGCTATAGCATGGCCATCAAACTGATTCACATTTTTAACCCATTCCTACTTAATAAAAACGTCTATACGCACGAATGGGGGAATGGACTTCAGTAAGGAATACCCATTATCCAGCACTTGACACGGCATTTAGCGATGACAAAATAGCTTCTTACTGAATCTGCATATCTATGCTTTACCTATATCTATATACACACCTGACCAAGCCACTCTGGACACATGAGAATGAAGCTGAACTTCTCTGACCGTGCCTGAATCCGTGTTACAGAGAATGCGATTAGGACAAACTGGCATTGGGACGTCAAATAAAGCAGCGCATTGTTAAGTAATGTGAGCTGAAGTCAAAAGGGCAAACTGTAAGCGCAATTAGCGTTTAAAATTGCTCTTTATGGCTGACGTAAGTAAATAAGGATCTTGTTAATGGAACAGCAGGACGTTTTGCTACATCCTTGCCTCAGCTTACCATGCGATATAGCGACTGCGATAAAGTTGGGATAAATAAAAACACAATTTAAGAGGTATGTACAGAGTACACCACGGAAACTCAAGTGGCGAAAATCCCATCACCGAATTGGTTTAATGCACTTATTACGCTGTTGTCGTATGCCTATTTGCAAGCAATTTAGAACAAAATATACGTCCGACAAATGCAATTTGAGCAATAGCGTGGTCAATTTTCGCGCCTGTTTCTGCCATTGTTCGCACACTTGTCATTTTGCATGAGCTGTCCGCAGATATCCAGGTGCGCCAAGTCTTCCCGTTCCTGTCTGTACCGCTGTACTGCCGTCTCGATCAGTGCCGCGTGATTAGGAAAGGGGGAAGAGTGAAAAAGTCAGGGTCAGCTGCCAGACGAGATTGCTGGCAGACGAGTGTCACATTGGTCGGCGTCGCCGAGACCTGCTTCACGTGACACAGTGTTGGTTCACGATATCCCACGACAGCGTGTTTTGTGACTTTCTGCAATATTTTCCAAGGCATTCACAATTCTTCATGTTCTAGTATGGCGCTTCGGAGCCCTTAGGGTTTGACGGTCGTAATGTGGGGGAGCAGAGACTCATCAAACCCTGGTGTCTGCTGAAGAGCAGCTGAGACAGACCACAGCCCTGACCGCAGCGGGTGCAACGGCGACAGTTTCATCTGTCGTGTCACAATCCGCCCCCGACGCAAAAATCGCCGACCGGTTGCAGGGTCAGCGCGAAGGTGCCGAAAACTGCCCTTCTCCTCCACGACGGAGGACCAGACCTTCACCCAACGACTGTCTTTGTCTGAAACGAGCCCGGTGACGTTGCGAGTTCGCCAGAAGTCCTCGGACGTGCCCATTCAGTAGAAGTCCTCACAGGGGATCGGACATGCCCATATAGCCTGCTCTGACGGCGGTAATGTGCCGCTCAATGGTGCGAGGTCCACTGCGGTCCGCAGGGCGTCATGTCCATCATGAGTCCGCGCGCCTCGCTCCCACGTGAGCTGGCTCGGGATGGCGGCGTCCATCACCGGCGTCACCGCCAGCGACCGCGCAGGAATGCGACTGGTCAGACCGGCGGTCAGTGGTGACTACATTGGTGACCGGTGATCAGACGGTGATCACAACCGGGACTCCATTGGTGACTACGTCCTAGTAATCGGTAACCAATGTGGTGGCTACAGTTTGGTGACCGGTGACCACATCGAAGCCCGTGGTGGCGAAAGAATCGAGAACATATCTGGTGTCTTCAGATAAGTTCGATGACAGCAGCGGTGCTCGGACAAATGATTAGTGACGCACCGAAACGTTCACTAGACCTTGAGTTGCACACAGAAAACGACAAAAATCCGCGGAACATCTGCCCGTCGGGCCGGCTCTCACATTGAAGGCCGAACCGGTGCTTCGTCTACTTCCAGCACGACATGTTAGTGCCGCTTGTCCCAGTGTTCGCCCCTCGCGACCGCCTGTCTGCAGGCCTGCACAGTCAGAACGGAATGACTCACATATTCAAATCACGATAAACCCGTTGGATCTCTGCCGACTTCGTCGCTACCGTTAGGAAAATCCCTTCGCTTCTCTCGCACAACTGAACTTCTCAATGCGTTTCAATCATCGACCTGAAATACCACCGACATCCGCCGTGACAGCAGAGGCTCGGGAGGTTCTGCGGTCTGTTCCGAATCCCCCTGACATTCAGCCGGAAGTCAGTGGTCGTTTCCCCGCTCGGCGGTATGTGGATGACACAGCAAACGCTGCCGGCTGATTTAACTTCACGGCACACCGTTTCTGAACACGACTGTGAGAAGCCCACGGCCGGTAAGAGATATGCGCATAATGCCACCGTATATCGGATCCCATGCCATCTCCGTGGCCGTCATCGCAGCGGAGATCGGCTTATCTCGGGGGCGCGGCGCGTCACAGAGGACGAGTCACACGCCGTCTCAGCGGGTTCCGGGAAGTGTGGTCGTCACTCGTGTGATCGGAGGCAGTGTAAGTCTCCAACTGGCATCCCTGGGTCGCGCACAGAGGCGGGAGGCGAGGCGGGGCAGGTTGAGGTGAGTGTCCGCAAGTTAACCGACAAGCGGGACGAGATTGTTGAGTAGTTACAAGGAGGCGGAGGCGGGTGGGGAGGCGGGGGCGGAGGATTGCTCATCTCAGCGATCATCACCACATCATCCGGTGGTGTCCCGATTGACAGTCATGTGAGCTCCACCGCTGTGTCATTCCGGATACAGACGACTACGTCAGAGTACGGCTCAGTAGGAACAGGTATCTGGAAACGTCATACTCGACCGGATGGAATTCTCCCCAGACTGGCCGGCAAACAAAGCATACCAGCGGCAAGAGCTATTCGTCGTCGTGCAGCTTGTGATATGTCGAGAATGCCCGTGGTTAGACCAGTTCGGGGGGACTTTATGTCCAAGCGGAACCATACAATTTCCGCGAGCATGTAGACTGTAGAGCAAAACGATGCAGCATACAGGAATTTTCAAGATGCAAACAGGAAGAGTTGAGTTCCTCATAACGACACGTATCAAAGTATAGCCTCGCATCAGTTTGTGAACAAACTAACGGACGAGCCGGCGGCGCGGCTCTTCTGTTATCTGCAAAACTGAATTGTACCTACGTGATGTCCGTCCACTGCTATTCCGGATATAAGCCGGACAAAAAATAACAGTGCGCGCATGTGATACGTGATCTACCAATAGTGCCGAACACACAGAGGAACAAGGTAGTTTGAACATAAATCACGAACTCTCGCTGAAACAACGTGTACCTGCCCTGAACGATGACTAACGCTTGGTTTCTGTAAAGTTCATGGAGCAAGTTACATTGGTGCTGTAAAGGAGAGTTACACTGATAAAATAACAAATAAATAATAAATAAACGTCGTAGAAGGAATGCCGACAATAGATGAGCATTTTTGTGTTCAAAACTGTGTGCTATAGTTGAGTAATTACGTCTGTAGTTCTATTTGGATGCAAACAGAGGTGAGTGGAGACAATACATAAAAATTACATTCCTGGGATACATTGCACCACTGAATACTACCATGGGAACTGAAATCATGGAATTGGACCCACAGTTCTGGGTAAGTATGATGAATAGCGATGCCCCTTATGTGAATCACTGCCTTGCTCCGTAGACCGTATCTTGTTCAAAATCCACATATCTGTCCAACACAATAATGTTCGACAACCGGCTGATACGGTGGAAACAAAACGCTATCGTCACGGCACCTATGTCGCATCAAACTGACCTGATTGGGTGGAGACATGCCACAAACAGAGCTACATCAACAAAAGGAATCGAGGAAATTCCTTGACTGAGGCGACAAGGCAGGATGAAGTAATAGAGGATGCTACAATGGCAACATCAG